TCTCTTCTTCGACACATGTCGCACGACGGGATATCGAGGCCGCGTCGTAATCGCAAAAGGACAACGCCGGAATCGTGACCGCGGCGCAGGATGCTCGAGACAGCGTACATAACGCGCATCACATGGTATATCTACGAAACGTTGCAAGCTGTCAGCTCAATTACAAAGTTCCCACATTTAGAGATGTTTACTGCACTGTTCAAAACTGTAGATTTTAAGCGGACGTGCCGAGGTAAAATTCATAATTTTAGAAGCAGCGTAAATCTCCGAATTCTTTTTTCTTATTTGCGGTACTCCGTGCGTTAAATTTCTTAGATTCAAAATTTTTTACGATTAGGACAACGATTAGGGCGCATGGATATGTGTGTGTGTGTGTGTGTGTGCGCGCGTGCATGCGTGTATTCGAGATCGATTCATGTGCAGCTGGTTGACAATTTCTGTGACATTGGAATTTTCGAACGTTCGGGAAGGATGTAGGCGCTAGAGGACGCGACAAAAGAGCTTTCGCGAGGTGAATCGGATTTTTACTCGAGAACCTGCCCGCCCCGACCTACTTTCGTACCATTTCAGCAGCTCTACTAACCCTTCTGGCCGCCTTATCGCTACATCTCACATCCGAGACAAAGGTTCTTAAATTCGAGCCGATTCACCTCTGCCGCCTTCGTCCTTCTTATGAAGTCAGCGTGATCGATACATCTCGTCCCGTTCGACAGCGAGTTGTCTTTGCCGCGAGAGATCTCACTGCTCTCTTTAGTTTACGGGCGATCGGGAAACATGTTTTCCTTCCAGAAAGTAACATTTAAATATCGAATATCGAGAGAAGACTTACTTTTGAGAGCATCGAGTCGCGATGAAACCAGCTAGAACATTAAAAACGTATCATCGATTGCTTCGTTAACTTTCCACCCTGCTAATTGCGATATTCTCCCGAGAATTGTGCGGTATTGGGCGCCAGTTGTACTGTTTAAATTGTTACTCCATAGAATTCGAAAAGCGAGACGAAAACGGCAATAATCCCAGAGCAGCATCGCACTCGACCGTAGCGAAAACGTTTCGCAAAAAAATATTTGCGCAAATTATTTGTAAAAATAAAATTGCTGGAGTGTCAATACTCGAATGTGTGTGCCTGTATGCGTGGGAGGGAAAAGAGAGCGAGATGTACGAAATCCATTTACAATCCAATATCCGCATTTCGACACACCTCGCGACGCTTAAACAGTTTCACACGAAGCTATTCGATCATGTCGGCGAATAAAAACTGGTAAATAATTCGCGCTACGACGTGCGTTCGGTTCCCTTTGGGAGTCGACGCGACCCTTTCCTCATTTCCACATGTCACTTCGTCGGACTTGATCTTAGGTAAAGGCTGTGAAGCAGCTTGAATTCGAATAGCGGGGTGGAACGAATAAAGGGGAGAGAACAGTCACGTGACGAATTTATACGTTCTCGTGCACGGAAGGTGAAGACGGACAGAACGTCTCTATCATCACTTGAATTATCATATCTTCGCGGAGAAAGAAGGAAACGCGCGAAGTTTACCTCGAAAATCGGCACTTCTGTCATTTTTAACGGAAAATCGGCCGAAACACGAGGGAGGACTAACGGGAAAGCTGATTAACCGCGTCTCCTCCGCTCTATACGTCCCACCCTGTACTGAAGCGCCCTTAATCAGTTCCACTTACCTTCAGCCGTCGCCCAACACTATCGAGAGATAACGAGAGAGAGAACCGAAACTCTGACAGACGCGACGACGATTTGCAGCTGTATTTTCGCGCGAGCGGGCGCGTTAAATTCCATATCTCTGGCGATTTCTCGCGCTCGGACGAGTATCGGCCTCGCGCGGCGGGGAGAGCATTGAATAACCGGGACAAAAATCCCGAAATATCACTTCCGTCACTGTAGCGAACGGAGAAACGCAGTTGCCGTTCACTGTAAACTATTCCGCCAGGCTTGATTCGATGAAGCGGATTTGCGCGCCGGATCGGCCCGCAGGAACATGTCGTCGTCGTCGCTCGATAAGTCGATACTTCGCTTGTTCAGTTCCTTCCCTCGTGTTTCTCGCCCTCCGTACGATTCTTCGCTCCTCCACTTTCCAAGTAAGTAACTCGAAATCCCGCGTTGTCGAGTTCTTTGCGCTCGGGTGAGCCGCAACTTCGCGGCAGACATTACACCGCGGTAAAATCGCGGCCGCCGGGCTCGCGAATTTTACCCGTCGACTTCTTCGCCGGCTTTTCGACGGCGGGTCTAGCTTGTTACGCGACACATTTCCCGCAGGGGCGAATCTGTGTGTGTGGGAAATAATGGAACCTGAGCTTCGAGCCCCGACTGTCGGACGGGATAATTCTCTTCAGAAGTGTCGATTTCCCGGAGTATTACATACGACGCGGAACGGAAAAGGAACGTGCGAGTTCCTTTAAGTTCCCTCAAACATCTCTCTCCCTTCCCTTTCTTCCTCTTCGTTTTCTTCTCTATTTAAATCATTTCCCTGCTGGAAGCTCGATGTTGGAGGCGAGGAAGAAGCACACGCAGGGTCTCTCCGTAGTCGGGGCGAATTAAGGGAATCGGAAGATCGATGACTGCGAGAATGCCCGACAATTAATCGCGCGGAATCGACATTGATGCGACTTGGAGCGGCTTCCTCGTGGCGAACATTTCACAGGAGAAGAAGAATACATCGCTCACTCGGCGACGCCTAATTCGATTAGGCTCCTATCGCGTGCCTTAAAATCCAATTTCCACCATTTAATTTGTGCGTAAAAGAGAAATAGAGAGAGAGAGAGGGAGGGAGGGAGGGAGGAGCGCTATCAGCGCCGGATCGAAGGTTCTCGTTATCGGAAATCCTCGTTCTGATATAAGTGCCTCGTGCAGGAGGTCTCGTATCGATTTCTCCGTCGTGCCGTACACAACCGGTGCACGCGACTCGTATCGAACGGCGAAGAGCACGGGACGGCGCCCCGGGGACGAAATTCCTCGGGAAATATTCTTCTGTTTCAGGACACGCTCTCCAGCCAGTCGTTCTTACGAACGAGTCTTCTTCGATGAATCTACCTCCACCGATAGGCCTCTTACTCTGTTTTCCCTCGTCGCTGCTGTTAGGCGGATTTCTCTCGCCACACGTTGAGAATCTGGTCGAATCCACCGTTCTCCTCCCTCTTAGTCTCTTTCTCTCTCTCTCTCTCTCTCTTGTTGCTCGTTTTTCGTCGCAAGATGATACCAGCTTCTCTCATGCCAAATTTAAACGCACGAGCGCGTGTGCGTCTCTCGGTCTCTCATAATCGAGGACAACGGTGACAAATTGATATCGACGTTTTAATTCCTATTTCAACAATATCGCGCTGTTTCCGCTTCGGAATTATCGATTCTCACGGCGCGCGCTTAGTGTCTCTTCAACGTCACCGCTAAAAGCTCCACGTGCTCCGCGAATTACCGGGAACAAATCAATCGAGGCACGATTACACGCGACTCAGTGGTCGAGCCAATGCCGATCCTCGTCGATCGAGTCCCTCCGAGAGGACCTTTCCGGACTTTCCGTCGCGTAAGGCGCGCGTGTCGAGGTCGAGACCTCGATTAAACCTCGTGAAAAAGAGACACCGTCATCGCCGCCTCCCGCGGCGCCCTTTCTTCTCGCGACCTCATTATCCATCCTTCCGCTACAATCTCGCTACAGCCCTCCCCTCCTCCTCCTCCTCCAGACCTCGCCCCCGCGGCTAGTGTTCTCGTTATCGCGGGAAACTTTTCGAGATTACGAATTGCCCCCGCCGGGACGACCGACCCTTCGCGTCCTTCCGGGACGCCGACAGCGGGGCGTCCTTCCCGTCTCCCCCGCGTCCTGGTCGCTTACTCGTCACAGCTCGATGATATCCGGCGCGCGAAACTGCACTTTGCTGCTGAACTTCACCTCCTGGACAATCTTGTTACCGCCGTCGTCCGGATCGGCATCGCCGCTCCGCTCGTAGTCGTCGTCGTCCTCCTCCTCCTGCAGGTCCTCCAGGACCTTGCGTCTGTCTAAACGCCAGCCACCGTCCCTAGTGCTCATCGCCGACTTCTTCTTCTTCTTCTCGCGGATTTTATTCTGACGAACAGATCGCCGTGGTTATTTGTATCTGAAAGTCGAGCAGAACGGGCGCGCTTTGGAGCGTGAGTGTGCTCTTATCGACCGCAGACAGAGAGAAAAAGAGAGAAAGAGAGAGAGAGAGAGAGAGAGAGACAGTGAGACAGAGAGACAAAGAGAGAAAGAGATTCGTTGACTTACATAAAACGTTTATCTTACTGCGGTTTACTTTTTTGTCTTTTTCTCAATTTCGACGCATTACATAGATTGATAGAAGAGTGTCGCCGTAATTGCACCGGTCGGAGAGCCACAATTTTCGTTAGCAACGGCTAGACAAATACGATTCCGACGAGTCTTCCTCGAACGGAAGATATACATTCCCCAGCTTTAAAGTGTGCACTTTGGTAGCGTACGGTGATATCGAAAATAAGGAAAAAAGTCGACACGAACGTGGGTCCCGAGAAACGTTCTGTTCTTTTTCCTACTTCGGGCGTCTCTCCGTGCGTCCTGTGCATAAACGGCCGAGTCGCGAGTACGGTAGAGGAGAATTTTTACAGAGGCTTTCCACGTGCGTGTCCCTTCGTGATCGCCGCCAAATATTGATTAATCATCTCGTTATATCATGTTGAGCACGCAGCAACGGGCGTCGAGTCGGGGCCCGGTTTTCACATTTCGCCGATGATAGAAATATGATACGGTGCGGCGCGTTTACACGGTACGTCATACGCGCGCCCGCTACTCAGCTCTCCAAACGTAGCGAGTGAGTGTTTAAATATACGCAGGATTGAAACGCGGCGACGCGCCGAAATATTTTTCATTCGTCGGGCTCGTTCGTCCGTAAAAGGGTTCCCCATCGTCAATTTCTACAGGAGGGGCGGGGGGGAGGGGGAACTAGGTCAACATCGCGCGTTACTTTTCATTATGACCCGCGCTCGCACTTGCCGGAGGAAATTCGCGCGACGTCGCGAACTATTATTCCCCTATCTTGAAAATTTTTAGGAAAACTAGCCTCGATTGGAACTGTCGCTTTCTATATCTGCAATTTGTAAGAAGACAAACTTTTAGACATCCTCGCCCGAATGAGCTTGCAGCGTTATCAGGCTTGTAATCCGTGCAACCGATCGATACAATTGATTTCATGCAACTGACTGTTAGAAATGAAATCCGAGAGAGGAGAAATCCGGTGTATCGGGTGTATCCCCGTGAGCGGAGCGCCAGATCATCGACTTACCTTTCTGGTAAGGGGCATTCCAGAATTCTGCAGAAAGCCAGGCCGACCGCGACCAACAGTATCACTAACAAAACCGCGTACACTACGCACAGGTGAACCAAGGAAAAAATATAAAGCGTCTTGTGACACCACTTGTTGGGCGCGTACAACGAAAATTCGTATTCCGGCCACTTTATGTGCAGTATCCAATAATGTCCTGGAACACAAAGGGGAAGAAAGACGAGATGCGACGACGACGTACAGATCAATGTTCTACTTAATGCACGGGGGGGGNGGGGGGGGGAGGGGGTAGAGCGGCGTCTACCATGAGAATTTAAGGCCTGAGACTTAAGCTATTGAGAAATCGACCAATCACAACAATCACGATTATTCTTCTCACATTCGACTATGATCAACCGATCGATTCCTTACAGCTTAGGACTTAAAGCTTGAGTTTTACGTTTTAAATTCTCATTGTAGACACCGTTTCAGAAACAAGAGTATAACTTGCAGAATATTGCCGAATTTGTCGACTTAACTTTCTCGTCCGCACTGAAAATTACAGCTCTTTTGGATTACGTCCAAAAAGTTTATCTCGTTCGCGCTTCGCCCGTCTTTCCTCGCACCACCGGAGAGAACCGTACTTCTGCTGTGTTCGACCCAAAAACTTTCGAAGTGCTAACGACCTCGCCGTTACGTGACATACATATATCAGGTGCTCGAGATTAAGCAGTCTGCAATTACGTGCCGACCAACGAACTGTCGCGTTTCGCCGTACGACACTCGCAAACTGGCGCGCTCGAATGGTAAATATCGCGGCGGCGATGCTCGGTCACGAACAGCTTAATCGCCGTTACGGCGGAATTTTTTCCCAATCGGGGAGGAGTTTCTTCTCGCACACGAATTGGCGTGTTGCAAACCCCGAGATCCGTACGAGCGGCGCCTCGCTCGTTCTTTGCCATTTCACGTGATCCCGAATTAGCAGGAAGCGCGCTACGCGAAAAAAAGGATCGATCATTTATGTGAACAAAAACGAAAATAAATGCGCCGGCCCGATTAAAGTGACAGTGCGGCGAGAACGCACCTCTGAAATATCTCGGCATCGATCCATTCCTCACTAAAGATAGAACCTGCCATTAAAACCACCCGTGCAAAGTGCAAATATAAACAAAGGATGCCACTCGACCGATATTTTCGCCGTCGTAATGTGAACAAAAAGGATCCGCTCGTAAGAATAACGTCGCGAGGCGCAGAGAGCATCGCGCAATTAAGATCGGCATGGAGGGAGGTTAAACACAATTCACGCTGCAATATTTGTGGAACAACATAATGATGCAACTCATAACGCGGCATGCCGCTTTGTGCGCCGCTTCGTCGTTTTGCGCGAAAATAAAAGATCTCTGAGTCGTACGGTGTGTCACCGGTCATTTTTATCGAGTTGCGAATTTTAGTTGAACGATATAGCGGGTAATTCTTTGTGATTTAAAACAATTATAATGTATCCAAAAAATTAATGACTTTATATTAACGATTAAGCGAGAAAATTACTTTGCAAACCTTTTAATTAGATTAAATTAAATGAAGATTCAAATTAAATGAAGAACTTTAATTAATTAATTTAAAACGTATTTAGTCAGTCAATCGTTTAATTAAGAAAATTAAAAATTCTGGAACATGAAACGAGTAGTAAATGAAAACCAACTGATTTAATTACCCGGATATTAAATTGGAAAATGGCGGTTACTAATTTCATTGTATATTTTGCTCGAAATTTCCTTTCCTCTATGGTTAATAATAATGATCTTCTTCATAAATTTATTCGTGCTCGCATCAAGTTATTATGGAATCATGGGACCGAGTATTATGAAGTACATGTTTCGTAATATGGCTTTGAACTCGTGTGCATGTGTGTGTGCGTGTATATATATATAATATGAATAAATCCTCTGTGGCTTTGCCGCTCGGAAAGTTCGACGACCGTTCGTACGTAGTAAAATGCAGCCGCGATACAATTCCGTACAAAATTTCTTGCTTACCTAACGCGAACCATCCGACCAGGAAGCACGATAAAGCTATGGAGAGTAATTTCATGGGCGAGACGTGCGGTCTGGTAGCGGGAACGGACAAGACCTCCGGTCTCCGCGAGCGTATCTGCGAATAGAGCGCCCAGAACATACGCACGGCGCCTAAAACTCCACCGATCAGCATATACACGGGAATGTATGGCTCTATCGGGCACTCTTTGATGAATTGCACACCTGTAAGCGCAAAATTAAACGTGCGTTTTTCGTCACGCCCAACATCCGTTCGCATTACGAGACATTAAAAACGATCATGTAGACACACATCCCCTATAATTGATTTTATATATAATCTATTCTTTTTTCACGGTTATGTTTAAGCTGAATTGCTTCCGCTCGGGCACAATCGGATACATTTGATCTTTAACGCATGACGTGTGCGCAATGCGAAAAATCAATAATATTATGACTTCCACCTCTGTCCCAGCTCTTCCGCCGGAATCTTCCCCGTCGGTAGAATCTTTTTTATCGCGACGTATTTCTTCTACGCGATCGAATGTGTCGTTTACGTAATCTCGTAGCACCGTACAGCCGTAATCCGTGACTCGATGGTTTGCTTAATACTGTGTACTCATTATTATTCTCGTCGGAGAGGAAAGAAAAAGACACGGCCCGCGGCTGATATTCTCGCCCATCTATTTGGAACGTAGCGCATATATTGACGTGCGTCATTATCATGCACTTCTTTTTGCAACGTCGACGAGGAATAATTTAGCATTAATTGCGAACGCCCGACATCCATCCTGTGTATCACGTCCTGGTTTGACGCCCAACTTAGGCTAACATACATGCAAATATCCAAAGGTTCTCCCGCTACACTTGAGCAACGTACACTTCGTTGTTATGCACGTTTCGCATCTTCTGTATGTGCGAACTATTCATTTCCCGCGACATAATCTCGGACGATCTTTCTCGGAGAATTTATTTCGCGACGTTCGCTGTGACTAATACAAAAGATGAATTTAATACAGTCATTATGAGCGTTATCCGCGCGATCGTTTCGCAGATATCACGATATCACGACAAAACGATAAGAAGCGCGCCTACGTTTATTTAAATTTCGACGTAGACATCCTCATTAGATCTCGACCTTCTGATGCGACTTACGAGCAACTTGGAACGCACTCACGATCGCACGGAAGAAAGGGATTAGCTGTCCGTGTAACGCAATTGAAATTTAATTGCCAGACCTAGTTTTTAACTTTCTGTGGAAGATAAGAACCAGGCACAGGGACAAAGAAATTAGCTAAATTAATTGAATTTCAGTGGTATTACATAGACAGCTAATTTTTATCTGCGGACGCTAGTTTTCAGCCGTGGGAGATAGCTTTTAAGCTGTAGAAATTAATTCCTTTCTTCCGTGCGTCATCGCGGAATCGAGCGCGAATCGGTGCCTGCTTGATCGGATCAAATCCTGCTAAAAATATCTAACCGATCGGCTTTACCTTTCTTCTTCCATTAGAGTTCTCTTAATCCACTTCCTTTCTTCCCTTTGCACACGAGGCGACTTTGTTAACACCGCGCTAAATCCTTGAAAATTCGATAGGCGTTACCCGCTTCTGAAGCCAGTCCGGGCTTTAAGCGCATCACCCAATTTTTACGGCGCACGTTGCTATCCGCGAACCCTTCGATCGCGCTTCCGTGCCGTGATTTACGAAAGACCTAAGTAGCATTCGGAATCGGCAACCCGCGGCCACTTTCGCGGTTCACCTAATCCGTTATTATCGATTGCACGTTCTTATCGGACGGACTTCGCCGGAAGGTGAATGCACCAGGCCCGGTAATAAATCAGCTTGAACGTCTGTGCCTCCTCTCCTCCCTCGCGAGTAAACGGCTATGCCCGAGAAATTAAGTATACTCGCATGCCGTAAGCCCAGCACGCTAGCGTTTCGCGTGTGTCGTAACCCCGGTAACATTAATTAGCTCAGAAATGATGACGTTGTATATTTCGCGTAATTTCAGACTTTACTACTATTAACTGCAAGCCCTGATAAACGGGAAACGCACTTCTCCGCAGCCTGAAGCATTATAATCGCACTGTACGTGTTGTTATTATTTTCTTCGTGCGTGAGGGCTCGCATTGATAAATCACACGTGGAGTTTCGAGATTAAATGATATGAATATAATAAGCCGCGTGCATTCAGATTTATCACGAGGCTGGATTTAATTATTAAAATGTAAGGCTGTAATTGTACCGGAGTAGAAATACCATTATGTAGGAACGTTTAAAAATTTACCGATGCAAAATAACAAAGCTACGGGCTTTTGATGATTTACAACTGAATTATTAAAATGGCGCTTCGTCGATTACTGCGACCGAGAACGATTGATTGGAGGATCGGGAATATTAGAATTTGTCAGCTAACAGTCTCCGCGGGGTTATCCTCCGTTATCCTTCTACGTGACGAAAAATTTCAACGACTTATTTGCCCGGAGAAAATTCCACGCACAGGTTTATATCAGGGAGGGTCGCACGAGATATACTTTCGCCAGAAGGACATTGATAAAAGGACCTTATCTCCTACAGCAATCGGCGCGTCCTCGACGTGAAATACCTCGGGGAATCGTCTTCCGCTATCAGGCTCCGTTCCTTTAATCTGAACTCAGCTCGGAGACCGGCTGAAGGGAGAGAAAGAGTCTTACGCCGTATTACTGATATAATACCGCGTGTTAAATTTTTCTCTGATATCTAAAATAATTCTCGTGATGCGTGAAGGTATCCTCTTGAAGGTATCCTCTTGATGATGAAGAAAACTCTTTAGCGCACACAACCGAGAGATGCATAATAAAAGAAAATTCGCGTCTCGAGAGACGTCAGAGGGTTGCGCGAAATTGATTGAAACGCGCAGGAAGCTACAGAATCATCTCATTCAATTACTCCATCCTTCTTAAGTTTTCCTCAAGAGTGTTCAAGAGAATTGATTCCCTTGCCTCTTCACGCGCATAAAACAATGTAAGAACACGTTAACCTTCAGGAACGTTACATTGGGAAACCCCTTTAGTTGACTTAAACAAAATTCTTGTTTGGATATGAGTAAACAAATATTTTGCTTATGAGAACCAAAGTTTAGTTCTCTGAATGGCGTCTCTAATGGCTATCGATGTACAAATAGAAATTAGTTTGAATCAATCGGTAATTATCGGGAAAATGATAAAAATATTGATAGTAGAGGTTCATTAGAAAATCGTGAAAGAAGCGGTGATCTCGTTTTAAAACGTTCTCGCATCTTATTCTCTATTCCTTCTCTTGTGTTTTAAGCTATACCTTACTCCTAATATCTTATTCCTAACTCTCTATATTTAATTCCTCGTTACTTATTCCTTTTATTATGTCTGAACCGTAAGAGGCGCTGTGTGTGTGACGATGAAAAGGTAGACGGGAACGAGTGGATATCGCTTTCCCCGGCCGAGTCTTTCTTTCCACGGAGTCTCGCGAGAAAGCCCGTCGTTAATTCTTAAGCACAGGCATACTAAGTATCGATCCCGCTACGGTTGCCGAAGTATAAAACGGATCGAACCCGCGGCGAGCTGCCCCGAGAGAGGTAATACCACTTTCGACCCACTTATCCCGTTGCTGCTCATTATGCAATATTCATTATACCATCCCCGAACACCTTTCCTTCACGAATTAAATTATTCCCGCGCGGTTGATCATCGGTCAAAGTTCTTTCTCGGCTCGCCCCGTCCGCTCGGAAGTCAAATTTCTTGCCGTCGCCACTCACCAAAGATGAACATCAAGATAGGCACAGTGGACAGACAGGAGAGACATATGGTGAACGTCATCGTCTTGCTGATGACCCTCAGTGCGCGAAAGACAAAATCGCAGATGCCGTTCGCCTCGAGATGGGCGTCCTTCAGTTGGAACACGACCGAACCGTAAGTCGCTACGCCGAGATTCGCAGCTTCCGCGTCGCCCTTTTCGGGTATTTTGGCGCCGCCGGCGCAAAGCCGACGCGACTCGTCGCCTGAAAGCTGAAAGCACACGCGAGACAGCCCCGAATCAGATTTTCTCCCCGACCCCGTCTCTCTCGTGTATACGTAATACGATTTTGTTCCAGCTAGTACATTCACTTCGTTTAATATCGCACACGCGAGATACGCCGGCCGTTGTCGCACGAGCCGATTTCGCCGAGAATTCACGAGCTTACGTAATCCGATCTCTTCGATTCTCCGCGTTTAATCGACTTCTTCCTCAACGTTGTTTCGCGGCGTTTCAACTTCTGCCTTATTTTATCTTTGTTATCGTACACCGCGCCGTTACTTTACGCTGCACCGTGTACTATTTCGCCTGCATCTCGCTGATTACAGAATAATCCAATCAACGAGGGAGCGAAAGGAGTTTTTCTCGAATGTCGCGAGGAACACCCCCGTGTTAAGCAGTCACGTAATGCGCGGAAAATTAAAATAAACCACCGGCTAAATTTATAAATGTCGGACGTTGGAAGATATCTTGAATATCCGCGAAGGGATACAACTTTTCCCCGCGACGGAGATAAAATCCCCGCGCTGCGTGAGGAAAGTTCTTTGCGAAGAAGTTCGATCGAGACGCGAGGGAGGAAGAAGCGAGAACGGAGAGGTCTGCGTGGTTCGCGTGAGAAAGCGAGTTCTGCCGGCACGATTTAATTATCTGTCTCGTCGCTTTCGGCGAGTTATCGCCGTCCTTTCGGGAAAGCAGTGCAGATTCGACACCGGAGATCAATTTACATCCCGTCCCCCCACAGCGTGGGATCCGATAAACGATCGTGAAAAACGCGAACGCAGCATCGCCGAACGGTTTGCTGACACGTCTCTTATTTCTCACCGCCGATTCCCACTTCACGCCGCCGACGGAATTAATCCTTCGAGAGATCCTCGGCTGGCGCACACATCCCAAACGGAATTTCTTGCGTGCGAAATAAGCGGCGAGGCGTGAGCCCGGCGCGAGAAAAATTTCAGCTGTCACGAACAGCGCGAAGCGCGCCTTTAATCCCCGACCTTTCATCCCCGGCGAAAACGCGCGCTTGAACTTATGCACCCGAACAACGGCGGTGCTTCGTTTATTATTTAGAGTCTAGGAACCATCTGGTGTCTCAAGACGTGAGCTTGGGACACGTAGCACAGCGCTCGCGATAAATTTCGAAAATTCGCGCCACTTCCATCGCATAAATCCGTCCCATCGTCGTCGGGAGTCGCGCAGCCGAAACAGTATCGGACATTCTTCATTTCTCGAGCAAAGCGGACTTGCGAGAGAAGAAGGGAAAATTCCTGAAAGCACCAACTCGATTTCGCGACGATCTAAAGGGGTATTCTGTGTACAGGGTGCCCCAAAATTCGACCGACAAACAGGGGCTTCAGACTTGGCACCAGAGTGAATTATTTACAACAGTTGCCTCGAAGTGTGTCGGCCATTTACATCTAGCTTCCTCATAAGTAAGATGCATATCAACCGGTTCATCGAGGAAGAAGTGTCCATTTTGAAGACAAATTTCGCACAAACGATAAGGAAACGCTGTGATACTGAACTCGCGAGTCAATAACAAGTCAATACTAATTCTATGCTTCCTGCTTGAATATTTCCGACAATTTTCATGCTTTTGATAAAGCGATTTTTATTATCGCTTTTTATCAAGAGATGGCAAGAAAAATCAGGATCAGGGAAAAAGGCATCAGAACACCTTGTATACATTCATGGTTCGAATGTTCCGTTTTGCGAATAAGACGAAAAGAAAAAGATATGATTGTGACTCAAGGCGAAGTAAGCCCTATCGGACTCATTATAGTTTTCCGGCAAAGGGCAAAGTGCGAGGCATGAGGGAATAAGGGCCGGCGGTAGGATCTCTGTTACGAAACTACCGATTGTATTGTTATTCACTCGTTACTTCACCTCGCGTGCGTTGCAGCAACATATCGCATCGCCGCGCTGTGTCCGCATCGGAGAGCCAGCCCGGAATGCAATTTCAGAGACCGCGTAAGTTATTCTTTTAGTACAAAACTTTCCACCGCGTGAAAACTCACTCTGTATTTTACGCGATTTAATTCAAGAACGAACGATCGACTGCGGGAAATAAACGGCATCGATGCCGCAGTTTCGTTGGGCGCAGACCTTACGCGCTATTAATTTCACACTCTTCAATCGAACGATGAGAAGACTTTCTCTTCGTCACGCTTACTCTCCGAGCGACACCTCGACTCGTCTCCTCCGGTTTTATAACTGAATCTGAGTAAGCTTTGCCATTAGCGGCGAAAATTCGCAAATGAGAAAAAAAATCTCCCGTCGCGGTATAACGCGAGGAAAAAGATAAGAGCCGCGAGACCGACGTCTCTGAGAGCGGTAACGAAGGAAATTACTTTGAAGATTTCACGGGGATAAGCGTGGCATAGAGGTTAAGCGCGAAAAGGTAGAGGGAGGAGGACGAGAAGAAAAAAAAAAGTAGCAAGAGAAACGGGAAATGACGCCTCTATGCAGCTATCGCTCTGCACTCGATTGAGAGATTCGACCCGGCGGAAATTCATTCGGCAAAGAGCAACGGCTGCCGGGACAAAACTCCCGCTGAGATCTCAGCGAGTCTCAGAGAGCGCATTAAATCTACTTTCTGCTTGAGACGTAAGTAGCGCGAGTTTTTGATCCTTATCTTGCAACTCGGACGAGATCCACCTTGTAATTATTTAGTCGAGTTTGAAAAATTTTCATAACCTACCCGTTAACAAGTTTGTCTTACTTGTTAAATATTGTTCCATTGAGACAAAGAAATTCTTGAATATTTTTCTACGGTGTTACTGTTTAACACGGTGTTACTTCTTTCAAATAATTTATTGTTTGCGAAAACCACTATAATCATTGGACGGGTTGAAATTCAAAGAAATATTTTTCTCTGCATATACGTTCTCAGAAGATGAAGCTTCTACGAGAAGAAGCCTCGTGAGATTCTGAGGCATTTAAGAAATATTAACTTCCTCTTCCTCCACTCGTCGATTGCTCCGCCATGCTGGCTAAGTGACGTTCTGGTTCGCGAGATATCGTTACGTTGCGCAAACTTGAAAGCGTGACGAAAATAACCGCGTATTCGGGCCGGAAATGTTCAACTTTTCTTCGGCGAACTCGCGAGCTGCGGAGGTCAGTCTAGTTGGTGTGCTTCCTGCGTGTGAAAAACGTCACCTCCGTCGTCGGCCGCTACGACGTCGCCGTCGTAATTACCACGACGAATGATAAATGACAAATTGCACCCTCGAGTCACCTGCGGGTATATCCGGTGCACGCCATAAAGGTCGCGCGTCCTAGTCGCCCGTTTCCGTCGAAGTATCGCGAAACGCTCGTAACACAACTGGGGCGTGCGACATAACGGCGTCGCCCGAGAAAGAAAATTCCCTACATACGTAGTCGAGATACCAATGGCCGATAATAAGAGAAGAGGGGGGCGAGGGGGTTACCTGCGAAACGGAGCTGCTGGCTCGCCTGGAGTCGGCCCAGGCATTCGTCCCGTATCCTAGGTTGACCTGGGCGCCACCGCTTCCGCCTGATCTGACACTTCCCGAGCTCACTTCTCTTTGACGATAAGGCGAGGAACTTCGGTTTCTCGTGCTCCCTGGACAAACGCAAATATTTGAATTTCTCCGGACGTCCCTCAAAGCTCGGGGCAGCCTTGCGCGGTATCACGTGGACACATATCCGTTCGTAGGGAACAGAATCGCGAGAAATGCAGGTAGGAGATACATATCCATCTTTCTCTTCTTTGATTCACAATTTCTCACGTTCCTACGATTCGTGTATGCGTGTTCGACCGGGCTTACTTTCTTGCGCGAGGGAATTTTCTTACACGTGTTTGCCGAACGCGATCGAAAGGATTGAAATACCCGATTTATTTTCGCGTTTGAATTCGCACTCCGATCATATTTACCTCGATCGTGTTTACCTCATATTTGCCGAATATTCGCCATTCTATCATTCGCTTCGATACGCGCGCAATTGCAACGAACGAATCGCCGAATAATCACACGATGGGCAGATAGACGCAAACAGAGCTATGCTAATAATTAATAGCGTTAGTGCGCGTTTTAATTCACATTCGCCGTGCTCCCGTGTGAATTCCACTCACAGCAAAGGGACCGCGAACACTGAAAACCGTATTCGAGCCGCGGGAATATCTCTGTCGAGTCGCGGCTAATGCGTAGCGCGCGTCGCTTCGCGCGATAAATCCGCGCTTCCAATTTACGGGACGCGAATCCCATCCGCAGAAGAGACGCCGCCGATTATATCGCGACATTCCTCGCGCGATTCGCCGCGATATTTAACGACTTCGTCCGCCCCGCTGTGATTCGGTAAACAAGCAATCTCGCCTCGCATCGCATCCGGCTGGATAATCGCACGGGAAACGCCTTAAGGCGATCGTGTGAGACCGGAGCGTTGTATTTTGAATGGGCGCGCCGGGAAAACCACTCGCAAGTTTAGTATTTATCAAACAAAATTACATTCCTATACATTTAGTGCGTCGCCGAAATAGCGAATGTTTATTTTCTAAACAGAGTTGAGGCGAAGAAACGCGCGTCCGGAATTGTAATCGCAGAAATAATAGTGAAACGCGACGAGAAGACGGGATTGCGAGATTAAGAAATCACACGCGTGCAACGTGTGTTACACGTAGTGTAATTCCATTCGCACCCGGTGAAAAAGTCCGCGGGGAGAAAAAGGCGAGAGGGCCGCGCCCAGCTGATTTCGCCGCGCACGGAGCGCGCACGCGACCTCTTTCGCATTAGCGCGCGAAGCGGTTAAGTAGCAATATCCATCGGACGCGTATTTCGATTTCGTGACCGACGGCGGTTCTGCGTGGCCGCTGACATTAATAATCAACGTGCACGCTCGACGAAATCAGGCCAATTTGCGGGACCGGGGCATAACCTTTCGTAGTTTATCAACGCGCGCATGATGTTAATTATTACTCAGGCGAGCGCTTTTCATTTCCCCTCGGCGGTGTCGTGTCCGATTTCGCGCCGCTGCCGCGACACCGAGAGAGTCGTGGCGTTAAAAAGCTGCTTAAGCCGTTATAATGTAAAATCACAGAAGGTCCGCCTCCTTGCGGGAGCTCCGCCGCAAGAATGTTAACAGTAGAACTTGTTACCACGAAATACATGCATCTATATGTGCGGAAGTACGTAAGACAGCGGTAAGCCGTATGCAAGGTAAGCCGTTTGCCAAGGTTGGCTCACGGAGCTTAATGTTACTACGTTAACACACACGTGTCCGCACGTTGCGGACCTTCGACGAGTCGACGATAACAACTCGATGGTATTAGGGAACGCGCAAAAGTTCGTCCTGATCGCGTTCAAGTCCGTCGCCCGGAAGACCGTTTTGCAGACTTTCAACTCGATAATTACCCGAAAGACGTCAGAAAGTACCGTAAAATCACGCGACGCATGACCAAACTGACCGAGAAGTCTTCACGCCGGTCTCCCAGGTTTCGAATATCGAGTAACACCACGCTTGGTATCGAGACTCTTTCCGTGAGTCGCGTTATTTCCATCGGCGCGAGTGTCCATCGCAGCCCCGACGAGAAGTATCGAATTCACTACCGGCACGCGGCGGTGTGTCGTCCGGCAAGCAATTTCCGCCACTTTCCAGATATATTATCTATCGATACCCCGGGCATCGGTAACAAGAAAATCGAACGAAACTTAATCGGTGTCCCCGGAGACCCGCCGTCGAGTTGTGTGGTAATGAGCGTCAAATTGCCACTGCACTCCCGCAAGAAGAGATACACGTTATCTCGAAGCTGATCCGCGCCAACCTGCACCAGCGGGAATAACGCAACGAACGGTCGCGTAGAATTTGGTTAACGAATCCATTGGTGCGACATTTTTATCTCATATAAAAGAAAAAATATTGACGAAATTAAATGTGACTGCTTCGAGAAATGGCGAAGAACGAATATACTGGGCGATGAGAAGCCGAAGCACGGATATTTTGGTATTATTTGTATATTGAGATTGTTAATATTAATGTTATCGTGGGAAGATACAGATACATTCAGCGTGGAATGGCATTTGTTTTTACAAAAGAGAGATTTGTTTCTCTTTCTCCCTGACAGACGAATTGTGACAACATTATTGAAATTTCACTAGAATATTACTAGCGTTTCGGTTTCAATATAAAAAAACAGCGCGAATTGTTTTTTATCTGATAGCCCCACTCGGCTGTTTTACAAGCGGAGAAAAACAAAGATATCGATTACCTTTAATGTTTACCGACGTCAAACATGCGATGTACTATACGTAATAAAAGTTATATCGGTCCTCGTGCAAGTTTCTCATCCCTAGACGCACTTTACGGATTTTCAGTGACGTTGTAACGGCCAGTTGTTACGATTATTCCTCCGATCGAAGTTCGAGTGAAAATAAATAGTACCGTACGGACGGACAGTCGTTTAATTCCGCTATATATGATTGACGTGTGCAACATTTAGGCGTATTATTGGCGCAATTCGACCGCACTCGAGGTAGACACTAACGTTTCGTTTGTGCATCCCGTTGTGTTTCACCGCGATGCTGTAATATCGCGAACGGGTTACATCTGGATTTCGGTGCTTGAACACGGGGCATTGCGGTCTTGATATACGCTCAAGTACCCGATCACATTTTCGCGGTCATTTCCGTACCAAAGTTAAGCGACACCGGAGACAAGTTGCCGAAATCTAATCCCGTAAATTCAATACCTTTACGTTACTTGTTTCACCGTGGAAAAAGCTGGCGTACAGCTCGACTGTGATTGATCGGCAATTGTTTCCATAGCAAAAAATTAGCAATTTAAAGATTCGACTGGATTTCAATCTTCCACGATACGAACTTATTAGTCCTCTTATCTGTTCTTGGCTATTTATGGCCCCTGATACGGAAGAAACCGGGCTAGAAGAGTTAAGTCGGCTGGTCGATTTCTGCTATTTTTTAACAGATTGCAAAACCGAGTAAGCAGAAATTCCAAACATGTCAAAGACAGTCGCGATCATCCCGTTCGCTCGCTTGAGGAAGGCGCGAGTAATTCCGTTGCAAATCGTTAGCGTTGAAAACTTGGAGGCCGTCTCACCCTGATCCGCGGAAGCTCTTCTGGGGTTCAAGCTCCTCGGCATCCTTCGGTCCTGCATGCCACCCAGACTACCCCTGGGGCTCCTGTCGATCCCGTCCGGTCCGATGCTACCTCTGGGACTCCTGCTGTCTTCATCGTTGACGGCTCCGAGGGAGCCCCGCGAGTGCCGCTCGGCGTCGTTCACGCCTATGCTGCCGCGCGGCGACCGATTCGTCTCACCGTGCGGCACGATCGAACCTCGCGGACTCCTGTTGCCCTCCGGGCATATCGACCCGCGGGGGGAGCGATTGGGATCCCCGGCTATCGAGCCCCGGGGCGATCGGTTTGGGTCGGCCGTGATCGAGCCGCGGGGGCTCTGGTTCAGGCACTCGGAGGCTATCGAGCCGCGTGGACTCCTGTCCACGACCTCCATGGGCGTGATGCTGCCTCTGGGTGTCCTGTGCATGTCCGGGCAGATCGAGCCGCGGGGACTACGGTCGAAGTCCAAATTCGCCATGCTGCCGCGCGGACTCCTCGTCGAGTCCGGTACGAGCGAGTGCCTCGGGCTGCGGCTCGCGCCGAGAGTCGCGTTCCCGTTCTCCGGCATGAGGGACGTCCTGGAGGCGCCGATAGCTACCATGCTGTTCCGTGGACTCCGGTTGTAGGCCACGTCCGGCACCAGGGAGTTCCTCGGGCTAAGCGCCGAGTCCGGCACCAGGGAGTGCCGGGGGCTCAGCGAGACCTCCGGCGTCAGGCTGCACCGCGGCGTCCTCACCAGGTCCGGTACCAGACTGTTGCGCGGACTCCTACTGAGATCCGGCACCAGCGAGCCCCGTGGACTTCTGCAGTAATCGTCCGGTATCAGCGAATTTCGCGGGCTGCGACTCGCCTCCGGCACGAGGGAATTGCGACCGTACTGCTCCGGATCCGGCAGGATCCTGCGACATGTACCCTGCAACGGAGCGTGGGACTCAGGATTCTGGAACATTCGCTCCTTGAAATTGAGAATTTCATGAAGCTCCGTCGGCCTTGCGTTGAATTATTTAGTCATAATCACTCGGCGAAGCGAAAGAGAGAGAGAGAGAGGAAGATTGATATTTTCCCAGGGAAATCATCGGAACAGAGATTAACATTCTAATTTTACGTGGTTTTGACATTAATATAATTAATATTAATATTGTTCGTAGGAAGATACATATTTAATTGTGTACTAAATGTACGTCCGAATCTTCCATCGGTAGTCGTACAAGAGGGATCAACGTTTTCACGCTAAACCGATCATATTTATTCCCAGATTAACAATTTGTGTTCCCCATTAATCCCCTAACGTGACTTACGTTTTTGATTTCTATTATGGTAAACCGAAGGAAGATTCACGAATGTTTAGTACACGACTAAACATGTATATATCTTCCCCCATACAACATTAATATTAATTATGTATTAATATTAAAATCGCACTAAGACACTCGTGCTTAAGTCCTTATAAGCCCAATAATAAAATCTTCTTATTCAGTTGAATCTAAATAGGGCCGTTATTATTTGATAATTTCTTAATGTTTAAATTTCTCATTGTCTAATTCACTTCTCTTCGATTGAAAGTGCTTGGAATATCTGCATCTGCGCGTATGGTACATCCACATATTTTTCTGTGTTATATATTTAGTTAAATGAATGCCAGGATAAAATTGTATCCCTCTATATGAGTGAGAAGTTGCAAATGTGTTTGCGAGGCACGTCGAAATGCCGGATCGAAGTGAATGGATTTTAATTATTTTAGCGTTCAAAGCCGACTGATAGTTTTCGAAATGCTTGTCTGCGTCGATCGGCCACTAATGAATAACACGTGATAACAATCTGTCTGCTGTTGTGCAAATTTCACGATCGCAAATTTTCGCGGATAAACCGATGTGCAAAAGGTGTGACAAAAGCTCGTATTTGGTTTTATCGGATTGACATACGTAGTGCTCATATCGAACGTACACGACATCAAACACTCATATGCCCCCGAATATATCCCTCGAGTAATTGAATATTCCGCGCAACATTGCGTAGCCCGAAGCGAACGAGAAAAAGGTAGAAAAAAGAAAACAAAATTCGCTATATATTCCGGTCTGAGTCCGGTTGACTGGGAGTCTCAACTGGTCGAAATAATGTTTCGCGCTTTGCACGACTGCCAGTCACTCGTGAAAAAATATTACGAGCGTCAAATTGTTTTCGAATCGTTATTAGAGGTAGATTTTTAACTAACGGTCCGAACACGAAACCCATTTTTCGCGTGAAAAAAAAAACGAATTTCTCAATTTGCGTTTATCCGTGCTTCGGGTATGCACATAGCAGGATGAATTTCGAATTGACTTTCCGCATATATTAAAAAGCGACAATAGTTCTTGAAGCGTATAACGGCTCAAGGATCTATATTTATCAAAACTTCTCTCTCTCTCTTTCATTGTCGATTCCGATAAATAGAATATACCTGCGAATTTCGCAAGGTCCTTCGGACTCTTCCCGTACAAAGCAATTACACGAAGTCGCCGGAGACACAAGGATGAAAATACGAACCTCGTCGGGCGAGTCGCTTTCGGTATCGAGGGCGATATTCGGCACTACGCTACCCCTTGGCGATCGTTGCCTCTCCATCGTTCCGCCGGGACTGCTTGGCAGGACGAGAGGCTTCTCGGTGGCAACGCTCGCTCGTCTACCTCTCATCGTCGAAGACGCCCCTGCCGGCTGGCTCGAATTTGCCACGCTTGGCGACGCTCGCCGGCGCCGCGACGAAGCGCTTCGGTGTAACATCACGGTGATATGCCCTCACCCCTGCGACACACCACATTTCCTGACCAATTATTCCCCCGGCTATTAATTTCGCCTCCGATCAAGATTTTGAAGTGCCGTCAATATTAATTGCGACATATTAATTAATAACGTCGAATAAATTACATCCTTCTTCCGTAAGAGAGCTGTGCGAGAAATAAGATACCGTAGACACGGGGAAGGGGGAGGAGGGTTGTAGCGGAGAACTTTCTTGGATTATAGAATAATGCGGCAACGTGATCGATTATGCGGATTAATTGAAGAATAGGATGTTCGCTTTCGAACAACTTGTTCATTTTCGACTCAAGTCTCACCTGTGCGAGGAAGTCGGGTATCCTTAAAAGTTAAAAAGTGCGCCTTTTGCCGGAGAGTCGTTCCGCGCTTCAAAAAGCGAATTCGCGTCATTAGCGTGGCACGTACAATCGTAGAAACGCCCGTCCCCGTTTCTCGGGAGGCTAACAATGTCCATTAGAAGTTTAAAGAAGCGCGCTTCACGTTAAGTTTCCCCCGGGTTTCTCGCGTGGCGACGTTAAAAAGACAAGCGAGGTACAGGGCTACGAACTTAATCGGGAACTTTGTTCCCTCCACGTGCATACAATTCTCCCGGGGACGCGGAAAAAGTCGTGGCCGTCGTGCGAATCGATCGTTCCCTCATAGTGTGGCGAATACCGGCCGTATCAACGATACAAATCAAAAGCTAGCACTATGTAATAAGATACACCGGTGTACAAGTTACGCGTAATGCAGAAGGAAGATATCACCGATTACATAGAAAAATGGCAGAAGTGAGAGAGACGAGCAAAGATTTAGCCAATATCTTCCCTTTCGTCTCGCACCGTTGCAAAGTATTTGTGAAATGTATCTACAGCAGCGAACATTGACACGAGGGAGACGAGAATCATGGTATAACTTTTTTTTTAATGTATACAGAAACACAGGATTGGCTGTCTTAAAAGAGACGCGCAATATTCTCACATTTCTTCATGCATGCGATACTTTTTCAAGTATCCTCCTTAGATATACATTTTCGGTCCCCGTGGGGTCTCCGGAAACATTCAGCGCGAATCTGCGCGGGCGGGTAGATTCCTACCAGGAAGATGACCCGGATAAGTGCATGATCCGCTTCAGCACATTATATCGGCCCCTCTAATTCCCCGGCCTAGCTGCGACATGCATTTTGACGCGCCGATAAGAGCGCGTCTCTCGTAGCACGTAACACCTCTTCCACATAGACTGTGCGTCGAATATATTATCGAGTCGCGCGTACGCTCGAAACGATTCCGACAGCGAATTCACACGCTAAATATCGCGCCCGCCGCGGAAATGAAGCGGAAATATCTTTTGTGCGAGTTGCAAACGCGCAAAAATGACTCGTCCCTAATAAAGAGAGCGGAATCCGGCACGAGAATGGAAGGTGGATATTACATTTCGACTGAATTTCGCGTTTGACACCCTGGTTTATATATGTCGATTATTTATCGGGAGGCAAGCAGAGCGGAGCATAATAACTAGGAAATTCGACGTCGATTTATGCCTTTCGTGTTGCGTAATTAAACACGAGATACGTAGGCGCGAGTAACGCGTACGAACCAAGCTGGAAATATACGTTGACGGCGAATTACCGCGCGATATTGTTAATTGTTTCGTCGAACGCGCGCTCGGCACGCGTACACACGTTAAAAAAACTGGAGCTCGTTTATACTTCGTCGGAATTCACGCGATGTGTTTCACGCTGGCGAGACCGGTGAGAAGATGCGCCGATTACTGGACGAGTTTTATTGACTGGGAATGTATGATGCCGCGTTTGTGCCTCTCCAATAAACGGCAGAGAGTGAACTTTCCGAAACTGAGAAGCGAAACAGCGCTCGCACAGAAGTAAACATGGGATAACACCTTCCGTGAAATGGTGAATATTTACAGCGAATAGCACGGCTGTGGGAACAACTTCTTCCGTGTATACCGCAGGTAAAAAGTGAACACACGAAGATTCAAAAGGATAAGGGATTATCTCGCGCTTTTTTTCCGTTTTTATCGTTCTTTCGTCGCGACGCTTCTTCTATATTACATCTGCGCGCAAATAAATCCAAACGGGGATTTTCACGTTAACGTAATTCACGGTGCACGTGTGTGTTTTCGAGGCGAACTCCGTGTGAATTATTGAGCATTATTATTACCGCAGGCCACGGGCATTATTACAGTAGCCTCTTTATCGTAGGAATATGAGGCACGATGAGAGAGAAAGAGAGAAGTCGGGAAACAACGTGCGTTATTAGGAACGCGGTATCTTCCGGTTGCCGCGTGCGGGCAACTTTTTCCCAGCGATGAAATCCGCCGGTGAGCGTGAAATTCAACGAGGAATTCCATTGCGGCGGATTCGCGGCTCGTTAATTAAACCGACGAGTGCCGCTCGGAATATGGCGGTTGCGAAAAACTTGCCGGCGTAGGCGCGAAATAACATTTAATTCCGACGATACTTCCGTCTTACGGAGGCGCCTCGCTCCTCCGAATACACGCGTTTCGCGCGAAAGTTTGACGCGCGGAAATTGCGCGCTGAAACCCCCGTGAAGTGAAAACTGCGGGGCGCCGTTACGGCGCGCTTACGATATCACGTCTGACTACACGCCCTCCTCATCCACTGTGCAAGCAAGTTAAGATCGCGCATACACACATTTTCAAGAGACGCGCGCGGTGTGTGCGTGTGTATGCGTGTACCGATGCGAGGGTAGCAACATTTCTGGCAAACGATACACCGCCAAGCATCTTATCGCGATCAAAGCCGCGCTCGGGACAAAGAACAGTCACCCGTGCAATCGCGAAAATCTCCCACGAAGATAATCATAAGGTACACACAACACACACACGTACACGCACGCACACACGCGCACAATAGAATCTCAAAGTGAGGTATATCCATAATTCAGCAGCTTCGGCGGTGAGCAAACTTGCCGACGCTATTACGATAGCGCGCAAAGCCCGAGAGCGCACGCCTCTACGACTCACGGCGTGACGCGTTCCGATGGAACGTTGAAAATATATTTCGTTGACATTTAACAATCTCGCACCGCGCACTTGTTATTTCACCGCCCACGCCGTGACTCCCTTCGCGTCCCCCTTCGCGCCGCGCGCGACTCCCGCGCCGCGAGATTACCCGCGTTATCAGCGTCGCTGTTTCCCTTAGCTGCGTTCGTGTCGACGATTAAGCCACGCGCGAGTTTCAAGGGGTGATCGACTAATTAACGTGCTATTGATATCGATTGGATTACGCCTGAGTCATAATTAATAAACATCCGGTGGCACGCAGTTACGCAGTTACAAGCGCGCGACGACATTCTGCGATTACATGTATTACGGTCGAATTAATTATCGGCTTAAGTATGGTGTTGCTTTTAATGGACTATGGGATGAACAAGAGAATTAATGCCGGCCGTACAATATCGGTATTAGAAGCTTAACTGTTCTCGCCGTGACAATGGAAAGTGACGGTGGGGTTCGGCTTAGCAGGATAACGCGTAACGAGAGATTCGGGAAATTTTCAGGAAAAAATCAATAACCCTCCAATGGAAAGATGGATTTTCAAAACGTCAGGGTGTTTTGCTGCAATTATTTCAAATCAGTTGGTAAACTTTATTGTATTGTTTGAACTTATAAATAAACAGAGGAAGTGATTTCACGTTATTATTTACTTCTCTTGCTCATTTTGTACGTCAATTAGATGAAAAATGAACAGAATAGATAGAGCATGCGGTCGAATCCAACTCCAACCTTATTATTAAAGTGTTAAAAAAAACCACAAATACATGTATATATATACATATATCTTCTTTATTTGGCGAGTTAAACATTCAGTTAAAATGTCCCGCTAAAAGAGCTAATCATCATTATTTATTAAATACGAAACACAGCGGCCGCGAAAGAGCGATTACGATAACGTTACCCGTTGCGTACGCAATTTGACACATTTTGTAATTTCACATTACCGCGCTCGCAATAATTAACAATTTAAACATAGTAATGCTTCAATGAACCGTAAAATAAACCGACAAAACAATGTCAACGAATATTACTATGCGCCGTGCGCATTAATCGAGCTCCGTGTCAAATGCATTACGAGCTTACGAAATTACCGGTTTTTGTTCTGCCGCGAGGAGAAGCGTGGGAGGACGCGCGGGTTGTAAAAAATTGCATCGTAACCCCCGGAATTTTTAGACTTTCAGAGATAAGAAAGGTCAAACGAATGCGTGAAACGCGAAGAGAGAGATTTCAGCGGGTTTTAATCAACAGGAAATCGCCGTCGGCATTAATCAATCTTTGCAGGTGTAGATTTCGAAATCGCCACGTCGAAGAATACTTGAGCACTGAAAGGATTATCCGCCGGGTCTATCTGCGAGGTTTCGAGATTGCGGCTCGATCGACAGAGAGCGAGCTGAAAGTTAATTAATCGGAGCACAGCGCGGTCAGTTATTCGCATTGCGATACTTCGAGTCGCTACGGTCGACTCTCTGTGGCGCCGTACATTATGCCTCCGACAAGTCGGTTATGGCCATCCAGCACGGACACCCTTACAGTTGTAAACGACGATGGGCTACAGCCAACCAGCCGGCCGTCAGAATTTAGGCGGTGAAGATTAATTTTGCGTTACCCACGGGTAGCGGGAGGCGATTGACCGACTATGCGCGTCCATTAGGGGCTAATCTCTCAGAACGTAATTACCACGCCGTGCACTGAAGAGACGTATGAATTATTGGGAGGACAAGAAGCGGCATTAACGAAGATGAAAGGCGACGCGAGCTTGTAATAGCGAGTATTCTCCGCTCCCTCTCTCTCTCTCTCTCTCTCTCTCTCTTTCTTTGTCTCTCTCGCACGCGCACCTTCCTCACTCCATTTCGCGAAACTGAACTCGCGACTCGAGTCCCTAAGTCGCTAAATGCTTAATGCCAAGTACGACAATTATACTCCGAGGTGAAGTGCATTAAAAGCATGTA